ACAGCTCCATGCATAGATTATAGTGTTTCTGCATGCTGTACAGCTCCATGCATAGATTATAGTAGCTCTTCACGCTGTACAGCTCCATGCATAGATTATCGCAGCTCTTCACGCTGTACAGCTCCATGCATAGATTATAGAATCTGTGCATGCTGTAACATGACAAGTTCATCTGCAGATTGAAATTTCGTCAGAAACATAAACTGCGGCTTACTGGTCGAATGGATGTAGTGACAAGCTAATTAATTTAAGACTAAATCACTATAGTATGTTTTATTGCTTGTCTTCCCCAAATATTGGGTGGTCATAGAAATAGAGAGGATAACAAAGCCAACATATGAACGTATATATTGACTACCTTAAATTCGGTAACGACGTTTGGGCGCAAGCCTTTCGAAAATTTTTGAGTCGGCAGAGGAAATGGCAAGGCGCAATAAGTCTCGGCTCTTTGCCGTGCCCTATTGAAAACCCCTAAATATGTTTAATATTTATAATACCTGTATTATATTTAATACCAATAATATATACCTTAATATCGACGCGGATGGCACTTATTGCCCACGTGATTTATGAATAATACACCCCTTAATATATTAGTATGAATAATACATACCTAAATATCTTAATATGAATAATACACACCTGATATCTTAATATGAATAATGCATCCCTTAAAATCTTTATATGAATAATACATCCCTTACTATCTTAATATTAATAATGAATCTCTTAATATCCTAATATGAATAATACGTCCCTTAATATCTTTTTATGAATAATACATACCTTGATATTCACGGACGCGGTTGGCGCTTTATTGACTACATTACTTCTACCGCCGCCAAGTTCGTATGGCTTTCCCTGCTAAAAATAATTTAAATATTACGAGATATTATTCGTCTATTGCCGTCTAACCTATAATAATTTAATTTTAGAACGAAATAAGTCAATTGAATTTTGAGACAAAAATGGCAAAGTAAATACTTAAGATACTTTTAAACTGAAGATTTCCAAGGAATAATTATTTTTAGGAGGTATTCGAAGATTTAATAAAGAGAACTGAGATTTTTCCGGCAATTAATTGAAATTTGTAAAATTTCCAAGCTGTGCAGCGTAGCTACATGAAAAAATGGCTGATATATAAGCAATATGTAATGGTAGAAATTGAGTTCCAATCGAAGCAAACAGCGTAAGCGAAAGTTCCGGAGAAACTATACGGCATAGAATATGTATTTTAAACTATATTATTTATTATAATATGTACGGAATAGAATATGTATATATTTAGGATTTATACCTCCCACCGGTTGCATAACTTGGTTGGTTATGTGAATGTGTTTTGAATGATTGTTCGTATTTCCTATAAAAGTTATTATGTGGTTGCCTGGACTGCGTAATACAATTTGTGTTTGTTTGCTAATAGTGAATATGTGTATAAATAATGAGGTAAATCGTTATCTATAGTGTATGCGTGGTTGCTCAAGTATCTTAAGATCCCCTCAAGTAACACACTGACCCAGAGAACATTCAGGACTGTCGCCCAAGACCCATGCTGAAGCACCACCTTCGGCTCCGATCATGCACTGCACAACAGCGACATAGAAAAATAAAAAATTTTTCAATGCTAAAAATGATGGATTACTTTTCTCATCTTGGTTATCTCACACTTGTTCTTTTTCACATACGAAAGAATAAAATAACACATGGCTGAAGATTTTTGAAAACTCGGTCGAGCAAATAGTTTGAAAACTACCTCGATCTTTTACCAGGAAATTTTAAAGGACGAGGAGGAGCAATATTAAAGTTTTAATATGAAACTAATTCTAATCACTCCAAACGCGTGTAATCACTCGTGTACAAAAAGCTATGGAAGTAAATGAAAAATAATCATAATCCAATTGCTTTAGAGGTTATGTTTTGACTGAGAAATTTTAGCTTATGAACTTTGAAATGGGGCTTCGAATTTTATATTTTAAAACATCGCTGCCTCCCACAGATGGCAGGCAAAATGCTTTATTAATTATTTTATTACTCTAGCAGTTCCAATTGGAAGGAAAAAAGTGTTTAAACATCATTAAGCCATATCCGACTTTATCCAATTTCATGAAATTAATCGAGCCGCACCACTTTTTAGTTGTTCGCCTTGACATTTTGTTTCGGTGTCCACATAAACTCACAATGAATTTCTAGGAAGCGATTATACGCAATTTTCTTCATTTACGGAAAAAATAGTGCTATTGTGCTCGTCATGCTCGTCCGTCCGTGACTTCACTGTACTAATCGCAATGAAAACTTATTTATGCACGAGAAAATGATTTATGCACGCTCTCTGTCACTCACTGCAGTGAGTACTGATCTAATTTTTTAAAAGTAATTTTCACATCTTCTGATCTCTCACGCGAACGCCACTTGTCCAGCGAGCTACACGAGGGTTTTGGTGGCGCCGTTACAGCGAGAAAAATGAGACTTCGGGTCGTTCTTTTCCACAAAAACCCTAAACGCTCAGGAATATTTATTACGAAGATGAATGCCTAACGATTCGGATGCCAGCACTTGTTAACAAAGATTAAAAGGAACCTTTTTAACCGGTCATACAATGAGGACGATACTGCACGGTGAGCGGCTAAACGTCTTTTAATGAACGTGATTCAAGTCTAGAATTTGGATATAAAAAAGGGTTATTTTCAGACGAGCGTATGAGACGACTTATTGAACGTAACTATGGTTAGGTATATACATGAAAAATTAATCTAAATATAAAGTCTATTCAAATTTTTCGAGTCTTATTTATGGATGTGAATAATTCATAATTTATCGTTAGAATGCATCTAATTTTTTTTAATGTAATTAATAAGAAGCTATGATTTGAAAAATTTATGATTTTATAGGTAAAATTAAGTTTTACAGTTGCCTATTTTCTTAAATGTTTATTCCAAAGTGTGTCAGCGTAAAGAAATAATTTCCGCGAGTTATTAGATTAATTGTTATTATTTTCACTGTCGATCCTGCAACTGCGCGTTCGTTCGCGTCCATGAACTTCCTACAATTAATAATTTTTATTGCAATGTCAACAATAATTTTTTAAACAATTTTTCTTTAAGAGCTCAGGAAGAATTTTCATTAGAATTTTCTATACATGACTGGTTGAAGTTTTGGAAAAGTATCAGTTTGGTAGATATCCTGAACAAAAATTTCGTTTCTCCTTCTAGAGTTTCATAATTTATCGAAATGATGATTTTCGAAGAAAACTTTGTAGTTATATTTATATTTTATTTGAACACTGCATGAACTTGTACCTCCGTGATATTCATTTGATTATTTAGAAATAATAATCTCAACCATATTAAAAGAAGCATGAAACATTATAAACTTTTAGCAGCGGCGCAGTTTAGAGTGAGAAGTGTGAGTAAAATCAATTTGACTGAAATGTCAGTTAAAAATATTATTTCAGGTAGTGAAAAAAAATTGGCTGGAATTATCTAAGACTTTTATAACATCTGCTGAACGAATGGTTTAAAAAATGGTTTTAAAGTTATTTTAATGGTTTTAGAAATCCTACACGAGCGATAAGCTTCTCTCAATTCAGTTTGATCTTTGTTTCGTTAATCCACCTAATAAAAACTTTATCTATTTATTTTTCTTTATTCAGAGCTTCGTTCTTTAACTAAATGGAAACTAAATTATATTCCAACTAATCCAAAAAAGCACTGATAATAAATTATGCATGAAGAAAAAGTGTAGATAAATTAAATTTTTAAAGCAAAATTTCACAATTATGGTCTATTTTGAACAATTTCAAAAGGCGCTGCAACTCATGCTAGAAAAAGGCACTTTGGACAAAAAAAAATAACGTGAAGGCTTAGCCTCCTACTTCTCCATATTGACTTGACAGTCTTAGCCAGACCCTTTCGAGTAGCCAGGATATTTGAGGGGAGACTCTCATATAGTTTTAAAACAAGGCTCAAATTTAAGACCAGCCTCTTCTTATTTAGAAGTAACTTTACTCGAGCAACCTCAGACAACGACCTCCAACTTCCGTCGCTGAACTTCTCAACTTTAGCGAAGAACACTGAAAGTGAGCGGAGATTTCTGGAGGGCCAATAAGATCGGGTTCCAGAGTTCTGTTCTAACCGTTGAGGCAAGAGGTTCCTTGTGCTGAGCTCCCGTGACAGTAGCCGGCTTCGGCCGGCTGCTACGTCATCTTTCTAGAACTATCTTTCTCGAACTTTGAAAATGCCGTACTATCCCGCTCCGAGGCGTTGAGCCGGCGGATACCATGGTACGATCAGCTTAAGTGAAATTCAACCCCTGAAGTTCTGAACCCCTATAAATGCTCCCGGCGTCTAACCGCCAAATTTGGATACAAAGATTTTAAGATGCCTCCATGTGTGGTTAGTACCCCCGGGTTCGTGGTTAGTGCCCCCAGGTGAGTGGTTAGTGTCCCCAGGTGAGTGGTTAGTGTCCCCAGGTGAGTGGTTAGTGTCCCCAGGTAGTGGTTAGTGTCCCCAGGTGAGTGGTTAGTGTCCCCAGGTAGTGGTTAGTGTCCCCAGGTGATCGGAAACTTTTCAAAAAAAGAGCCATTAATGTTGTTACTAAATCTACAACTCTGAAACTGAAAGCTATTGAAAACGAATCTTTTTTAAGAATCATTTGTGTCACCGTCATGTTTAACAGAACTTTTAGGAAATAATTTATCATTGCGGGCTATCCGCTGCTCAATTTTAGAGTCGCGAAAACTTTATTTCTCCATCTAAAATGATCGTTTTGATGAGACATTAACTCGTATTGATCTCATCAGATTGATGAGACATCAAAAATCATCATTAATCACAGCGTGACTCCGCAATGATGCGCAACTTTCACGCATGAAAGCCAGACATCAAAGTCAGAAAGTTTAGCCCCAAATCGCGATCGATTACAAAAGTGCCATCACAAAAGAGTATACATTGCCGTCATGCCGCGTCCAGAACGAATTCTCCACTTAGATGCGCCCTGTTCACTGTGGTGTGTGGTTCACGTTTACAAAAGGTGAGTTATACTGACATTGCGTTATCTTATACTCACCTATAAGGACATATATTAGGTCTTTGCTAGTTTCTTCATTAAGATCACTTATTACTTGCGAACAGTCGAATATCTGCAAAATACTAGGGTCTCATATCTTTCAAACTCATCCAAATAGAATAAAATAACGCCATGGGCTTCAATGACGATAGAGGGCCTCTTAAATTACATTTGAAATTATAACTTTGGCTCTGAAAATGAGACGTCATTTTTTTATTTTGCATCTATGACATACTGTACATCATACTTGGACTCTAAATTCTTAAACAATAAATTGTAATTGATTAACAGAAACAATTAAATATTAACTAGTTGTTGTCTACTTTCAAGTTGACTATACAATGCGGTTCATTGTTGCATAGTTTTTCCATAAAATTTGGGCAATATCACCAAAAGTTCTGATCAACGCCTGCATTTCGTTGAACGAAATTTAGAACTCGGACAAAGCTCATCCTACCTGTCCAACTACATCCAACTAAACAACCCTATATGAAATAATATTTCATGTCCAGTATCTTAAAAGTAATAGCTAGAAATTTATTTAAATGGCAAAACGATTCTATTATGCAATTGAATATTAAAGGATATTTGAACATGCCCAAACAAGCCCAGGAAAATGACCTCAAACAATGTGTCCAATAAATACGTGTGCCTATTAATAATCATAACTTAAAAATAAGATAAATTTTGTTCAGAATAACAACATTCAAAGTTTTGGGGGGTTGCAATCCACTTTTCAGGACTTTAAAGATGGCGATGCTGCTTCTCGTTCTCCTGTTGGCGCAACATAGCAGCACCCAGTGGACGTCGAACATCCAGAATTACGTCATCCTGGCACCAGTGCAGGACATCGTCTCCGTCCACTCTGAATGTAAGCTGAAATATCAATAATAATAATAATATCATATGGCTCAAGTATTGGTTCTCTAGGGTCCCTTATTGTGACGATCGAAGTGTCAGTGTACAAGTAAGAAAACAACAAGTAAATATCGTATGACTCGTGTATTGGTCCTTTAGGGTCCCTTATTGTTACGATCGAAGTGTCAGTGTACATGTAAGAAGACAACAAATTGGACGAGCGCTAAATTTCAGACAACAATTTTGGGGATTCGCTATTGGGAAGCTTGACAGAGCGCAGTTAGGGGACAGGCTTTTTGAATAAAAATAACCGTGAACGAGCGTACGAGGAATTCTTGATTACCTGCAAACATGTTTACAGTTATACCATATTTTTTGTTTTGATTTCCAATATTATTTAACCAACGGCGACAGGCCACATCAGGCATACTCTTTAGCGCCGACATCACTATGTTATGTTATGTTATGTTATGTTATGTTATGTTATGTTATGTTATGTTATGTTGTTATAACATGAGAAGGATTTGAAGTGCCGTTGTGGACAAATACATTGCTTAATTTGTTAACTTTTGAAGAAATTCAACCTAAGTTACATAGGGACAACGATGAGTCACCATTTTTGACCTAATTTTTTTCACGATCTCGATTGAACATATAAAACAAACAAAGAGAGTGCGGAACATGTAAAAAACTTATTAAGCTGGTAAAATTCTTCGCGCATGCACAGATGCATTCAAACGCAAAATTTAATTCATAATAGAATCCGAAATTCCGTACACAGTTTTATTCCTGAAACCATTAGGTTTGTAAAGGCGTGGCGGGTATCCAGAAGAATGTTGAATATCTGATCGAAGCGGCAGGCGCTCCAGTCGCCAGTGGCAACGATCGATTAACGCCATAACTTTCTGTCACGACTGCGCCACGTGCGAAGCTTGAAGAATGTTAATGCGGGCTGTGTCGATCTTTGTTAATATTTCACCGAATTTACAACGTCATCCTTCTATCAAATGAATTGTTTGGGCGATTTAATTTCGTGCTTTAACTGTTAGGCAGATCATCACTAAATTTCCTGGGATTGAAGAAAGTCATCATCTCCATATAAATGCCTCACAATATTTTTTGTTACCGTATTTAAATTTGTACAGATTATACAATTTCATTTACGTCTAGAATATTTGTGCTTAAAAACTCATATATTACTGCTTATCTTCAAGTTTATTAGATTTACCCACCCTTTAATATCATTTGATACCATCTAAATGATAATAACGTCTGTTATCCAATAGGTGAGTGTAGATCGCTATGCATTCAGTATAACAACTGCACGGCAGTGACGTACGATGCCGTGGGCGACAGTTGCACACTCAGTTCAGGGAATCAGAGCTACCTGACAACGCAGCACAGAGTTGACACCGTCACCTACGCCAAATTCAGTGATTCTTGAAGCCGTATTTACCAGTGACCAATGGCAACCGAGTCGATCGATGCTGAACCATTTTGCACTAAATGTAACGTTTCCACTCTATAATGTATATTTTTTGCTCTTAATGGAATGTTTTCAAACTAAAATATTGTTTTGCAGTAAATTGATTTTTTTAAATCTCTTCCAATTGTATCGAACCCGTTACACTCATCATGCTTCCGTCACCGTTAACAGAAGAGAGCACGGAACTAGAGAAATAATAAATTTTGTTGAATTTATTGCTAAATTTTTAAAAATTTCTGCGCAGGTTACACTCCCCCTGCGCCACTGCTGTTCATGTCGACAGCCACGTCATATAACCAGTCTCGTGCAAGTATGGTGACAATGTGTGCTGCTCAAAATGGGATCCCGCTCATCATACGCACCACACAACAACGAGATCAAGCCAAGAATCTTGTGCGATGTCAGTTCATTTTTATTATTTTCATGACATTTTAAATCATGTTTTTGTATGATATTTTAATTTTACGTAAGAGTACAACGTTTATAAAAAAGAGACAGGCTAATGAGGACACAATGTTCTTTTAATTTATTATTTCTGCATTAGATACTCACAATAAAAATTATGTAAACAAGAGCGGACATGATGAAATTTTGTGGACCAAATATTTTTTTCAGAAATCGAGCTATTTTTTTCATCGAGCTTCTACAACTTACGTTCAACTCAAATGCATTTGTGATTAACATTACAATATTTAATCTATTTCATATTGTCGAATTGCATGTATTCGTTGCAGAAATTACTAACTTTTAATTGTATTGAAATGAACAGAATTTGATACAAGTAATTTTCAATAATTTTACTGCAACTAAACAATTTACAATGAAATCCGTGGAATTTACGGTTCACTTTAAAGGAAAAACAATAATATTTTTTATATTTCTCCGTTTTAAGGGCCTGTAACATCCTGTGCGGCATTTCAAGGTTAATCGTTCTTGGAATAATTGAATGATTTTTTCAGCCTCCGGTGTGGGAAACATTTTATTTGGATGGTATGCCTTCCTCTCTGCCCGCGATGTGCACGCTGCTGAAGATCCCATTCGGCCCGACGGAACCAAAGTCGTGGGCTCGGTCTCCACAAAAAGCAACATCCAAATTGAGACCAAGTATGAGATAGCCACCATGCTTAGGAATGACGGGAATATTTTCATCACAAAGGAAATGAACCCTAACGAATTGCCTTCCTTGTGTGAAAAATATCCATAAAAATTTCAGCCGCTGAAAGAGAACGTGTAATAACGAAAGGATCTTAAACTCTTCTTCTATTAGAATCGAAACATAAATCAGTGAAATACCTCTTTCATCCTTAATAAGTAATTCAAAACCATACCATTGTGCAAATTCACGAATTTATGAAAAAATAATGCAACATATAGATGTTGGGATGCTTTCCTCGGTCCGCTAACTCACATTTACCTCTCTTTTCATCAAAACGCGTTACGCCACAAAGCGTTGCTTCACAACATAACTCTGGTCTTTCTGATACCTTTGCAAAAAATAATCACGTTTCAGTTGGTTTTTAATTTGTGGCTTTGACCTCATTTGGTACTTCTTCGAATTAAAAATATTTGATTGATGTACAACTTGAATTGATACGACTTCATGACGCATCGTTGGCCAATGCCTGAAAGTCCTGGATGCTACATTACCCTGATTAACAAGATATTTCACAAAACACTTGAAATATTTAGTGGAAGAATGTGAATATTTTCGGCGCGCATTAAACTTACACATGGAAATTGTCCTCACGTATTAACGATACGTGAACGATACTGAATCTGAAGCTTGTTCGCTTTTCGACAGTAACAGTAAATGTGAAGCTAACATATTTTGATAAGAAAATCAGGTTCATTTTACAACACTTCTCTTTAACTTCACTTCTTCTCTGTTTCTTTGTTTGTCTTTCTGTCTGTCTGTCTGCTACAAATCTTGTAATCGAAATTTAATACACTTCTACTTATCCTATCGATCTGAAATTTTGCACACTTGTGTAAAGTTGGAGACAATGCATGAATCAAATGTCAAAATAAATTATTTTAATAATTTAAAATTTTTTTATTCAATATTAAAAAAATTGAAAAAACATTTTTGTCAGCTACAAATCTTATAACTGATATTTAACACGCTTATACCTATCCAATTGATCTGAAATTTAGCACACTTGCATAAAGTTGGAGACAATGCATGAATCAATTGACAGAATAAATGATTTTATAAATTATTTTTCTTTTCATTATTAAAAAAAGTAAAAATAATTTCGTCTGCTACAAATCTGAAATCTTATAATCCATATGACACAATTTGACCGGTCCAATCGATCTGAAATTTTGCACAATTGCATAAAGTCAGAAACAATGCATGAATCAGTTGATAGAATAAATAATTTGGAAAATTTACACAATTTTGATATCATAAAAAATTTGAAAAATAATTTTTTTATATATGAAAATGAAATTAGAAATTCATTGTACATGTTTAACATCCAAGACACAGGATTCTTAGGAAGTATTGTATTTAGAAAGTTTTTTTTCAAAGCATATTATTTAGTTTCAGCGTTATCATTTTTCAGCGTTATCATTTTCGATCTCCAGCCTATGTGAGCATCTAAATAAATAAATCGCACGTCCAAAAAAAAATAAGTCGCAAGGCACGTAAAAATTAACGTTTACTCAAAATTTCATATATAACTATTTAAGTTAAGAAAGGAGTCCATACAATATCGCTAATTTATTCAATATTCAACAATATCATTTCGTATCGTTTATTTTCCGTATTAATTACCTAGAATTCAACTAAAATCGCTACGTCCGACTAGAGCATAACTACTCAGTGCCATTTCTTAAGTGTAAAGGAAAACAAATTGATTCATACCACTTCTATGTAATTCTATCCATACTAAAAATTACTAATTGGTTCAAAATTTTTAATCTGTAAAAAAATCTCATCCTATTTCAATTCTACGCTGAAGCATTCTTTGGATTCATGAACGTTAAAATAACCATCTTCCACTATGTTTGAATCATGGTCATTTGTAGTATGAAAGTGGAAGCTACGTCATATTCGAACGCAACATTTTCGTTAAATACGCACAATTATACGCACAATTTGGAATTGTCTACTGCTCCATCTGAGGTGGAGTAATATATAGAATCTGGAAATGGCTCTACGACACAGGTACGTTGCACTCATGGTTGAATTAATACATACATATATATGTATTAGTGTAATTAGGCAGAAGTTCTTCATTTATACAGGTTTGATTGAAGACCAGAGCGTACTTTTTATTAACAAATTTCTTATTTTTTTACCGATGAGCCGAACGAAATTTTTTGCAGGTGCTTGAAGATCAAAAAGCAGATTAAAAGATATATGTATTAATACATGGAATACATGTATATGTATAAATACATACATATTAATATGTATTGATTCAACCATGGTTGCACTGATCAGCGTGAGAGCTCACAGCAGAATGGGGCGGGTGGGCAAGCAGTGTTGTAGACAGCATCTCAACCGCGCTGAGAACGTTCATGCTGAGCGGTATAATTTTGATTTAACGCCGTACTTCTCCTAAAACGTCTATCAATTATAAATGGCATAAATGTCCCGGGTGGTAATCGCTCAAGTATCTAGAGCGGCGGATTGTTTTCGGTTTAATGATAATGGGTTGTTTGTAAGAATCTATTTCTATTCATCCCTCATTTGGAATTGGAGCGTTCCAGGTTTTGGTGCTACACGCTGAATTTCTCATAAGATTATTGTCTTTGCACGTTTGTTTACCTAGAGAAAATACTCTTAATTTGCTCTGACGTACGTTGCACTAATTCATAGATATATAGTATTTAAGATACTTCAAATTATGAACTTATACGGATTTTCGACATTGAATTCACCTAGAATATTTGTTGGGTCAGTATTCATGTTCATTTTTCATGGAATACATACGGTTGTAAAATAAATATTTATTGGTGTATACCGTCAAATCTCGTTGATTTACCCTCAGCCCTGCAAGTAGATACCGGAACAACAATCTGTTCCATCAGTTAGAGGTTCCATCAATTTTACAGCAACTTCAGAAAATTGCATGGATATAAACTTTTCAATTATGGTTGACTCATGCTCCGAAGAAAACCTGTTCAGATAAAATATGTTACGTATAAATTCAATTTGGATTGCATTGCGTAAAGAGAAACAAATTCCATACATTGTGGTGTGAACATACGTGAATTCCAGTCAATCCAGTCAAAATATGTATACTGAAACAGCAATATAACTAAATATATATATATATCTAAGTGTCTTGCACTTAACAGTAAATGCTGTTCAAATTTCAAGAGTATCAGTTCAGTCGTTTCAGAAGTTGAAGCAATCTAGCTAATTCTTTATATTCAACTAGTTTCAAGATTTATTCGCTTTAAAACGTCAAAAATGCTGTGTATATTTCACGAGCGTTAGTTCAACGGTTTATAAATTAAAATCAGTAAAAAAAATTCATAAATCCAAATTGAATAAAAAAAATACAAATATAATAAAAAACTGACTGAACTGACTGAGCCATTTATAAAACGGATACCTACATTTTCTCGGTTTTAGGAAACTAAACCAAGAAATGTAATTGCTTTAAAACTGCAAAAATTGTCTCGAGTCTCCGTTCATTCGTTTTTTGATATACAAATAATATTAATAAATTTTACATTTCGACTTGAAAAATTCCACAAACCATGCAGTTTATTTATCATACAACGGCGATGTACTATTCAAATTTCACTGGTGTCAGTTGGGCTTTTTCTGAAATAGAATTGATATTAAAAAATTTTAAGTTCAATTTTAAAATCCACCAAACGCAGGGATTTATTCACTCCAAAATGGCAAACACGTTGTTTAAATTTCTCAATTGTCAGCTTTGCAGGTCTGAAATAGTATTAGTTTAAATAAGTTTTTAATTGACCTTGTAAATTTGCCCAGACCTATAAGTTTATTTGCTTTATAACGGTATAAATGTTTTCAGCGAAATAAAATGTTATAATAAAATGTTTTCAGCGAATTTTTTTCAGTGCTTCTGAGATTTATCATGCATATTTTTATATGAAAATTACCATATATAACCAAAAATTTTTGTTATTAGTAATTTTGCAATATATATTTTCTGTGAGTCGAACGAAATTCTATCTGGCGTAGGCAGATTGAAAAAGGTGTGAGTCGGCGGCTTAAGCCGACAACAATACGGCGACTGTGATTAATTGGCATTTTCCAACCCTATTCGCAGCCAAAAATTAAAAACTTGACGTGGCATGACTTAACCCTAATTGGGTTATAATCCTAACCCTAATATAACCCCAAGTACATGCCTAACCCAACCTAACGAGGTTGGAGATAAAAAGCATGTTTCGGAATAGCGTAAGACCATTCATTTTCCTTAGCGTATAAAGGGAGGCAGCGGCTCTTCGCGTTTCGATAAAGAACGCGAGGCGATTTATTGTAATAAAGCCTTCTTTATTACAATCGCCATATTGACATTGAATACATCTGGTCCGCATGTTATTTACCGTGATCCAGCACAGCGCTCGTGTATCCAGCATTTCTGGATCTCGGTTTTGAGAATTACGACTCCGCCGAGGCCGACATCATGTTTGTGCTGGGATTTTTTTTTGCTGGCTGAGAAGTGATCGTTGTTTGGCAAGGAAATGCTAGGAATTGTCTATGACGACGCAATATAAAAGCCTCTAACAAGTAGATGATGGATTGGCGGAACGTGCAAGCGTGGATAAATTAAAAACGCATGGTTTGTTTTTGTGAGATGCAAACGATGCCTTTTGAGAGTATCCGCGTTGTAATGAGAGGACAGAGGTTCTCATTACCCAGAGGGTAATGAGAAGAGGCTGCGTAGACTTGCATAGCTTCGTTGTATTGAGAAAATAGCACATGTGTGTGGGGGGTCTGAGTAGTGGCGAAAAATGCATCGTTGCTTTAAGAAAAAAACATTGTACATGGAAGGTAGCATTGTTGAGAGGTGGTAACCGGCGCCTTGAGAGCTGCCTGGATACGAGTATGCGTTCATAAAGAAAATAATGTCCCTAAGGTGGGAATTATTGTAGATGCACTGTAGTATTGTAATTACTCAACTTTCCCCCTCCGACACGTCTTTTATTTCAAAAGACGTGAAAATGTGCGCGTTATTTCTATAACTATTTTATATAAATATTTTATATAAAATATATAAATAAATTTATATATAAATATTTTCTAACTATAACTATATATTTTAATATATAACTTTTTTCCAAATTTAAGTCGGTTTCCTTGTAGTTCTTCCTGCTAGTAATTTTATAATTTTTTTCGATTCCGTGGCTTTATTGCATTTTAAATTTATTTTATTGGTTGTTGACCTACATTTCAGAATAATATTCGCTTCACAATAAATTTCTTGCTAACTTCTATGAATAATATTCATTCAATTTTGAATTCCTAGCCAACATTCCTGATTAACATTTGCTTAATTCCTTATTCTTCACTTTCGTGCTTCATTGCCAATTATATGCCACGGGCCTCCGCATTCCTGAGTGATCCGCAAAACTGAGATAAACTTTACGACCAACTGAACTCGTTCCGGAAATTGCCTTTCGGTCCGGGGGCTGGAAAATGGAGGCCGCATTTGAATTAGCGCTCAACTGGCGCTCCGTTCTGACCGCGGCGAGCGTTCGCTTCACGGCGGTCCTGACCTAGAGGAGGATTGCTTTTTTTGCAAGTGCTACTTTTATTATTTTTGGGGCAAAATCCATGATTTAGTATTTTTCAAGTGCATTGACCGATAGAAATTTATGATGACGGTATTTCCTCATTGTAGTTTACGATAGGATTGATATTTTTTGCAAATGCTACTTTTG